ATATATATATATATATATATATACACGCTCTATTTCTGATATTGAGCACTTTATTCCATAAATATAGCACGTCTTAAGACTATATTTCTTCATATATAAATATATATATATATATATATATATATATATATATATATATATATATATATATATATATATGTATATATATATATATATATATATATATATATATATATATATATGAGTAATCCTTTCTCTGGGCAGCAGTCGCTCTTTTCATACATAGTTTATATTAGTCTTTCTTTTATTATTATTTAATTTGTTTTGTGTTCAAATAATTTTTTTCTTTTCCGGAAAATTGTCCGAGTGTTCAGCATATCTGAACGGTTTTGGTAATTCTTTTAGCCTTTATCATGGATACTTTTTTTTTATTGTTAACTGAATATATAGAGGTTTTATGCATGTATCTGCAGTTATAGGGTTGTTCTTTTTCTGAACACGTTCAGCATATTGTGTCCATGTTCAGATTTGATGTTAGATGCTTACATTAAAAAAAAATTCCATGCATTCAGTTAAAAATGAAAATAAAAAGTAACAGCACAACATGCATATTACAGTTGAAATTACCGAAATCAAACAGTGCAAGAATTTAAATATCTGTGAAGTGTATTTACAAATTGCCCCAAGTACGTCCGAAGACGTATATGGATAGGCAAGGATGCATTCCAAAATTTATGAAAATTACAAAGAAACAGAAAAAAATGTCGTTAGAAACGAAGAAACAAGTACTGGACAGTATCTGTCTATACTTCTGAGATGAGGTATTATGTACACTATTTACATTATTCGGACTATTGTCCTCATCTTTGTTGCCATATTTATTACAACGTTTCGGTCTTTCAGTATCTGTCTATATTTCTGAGATGAGGTATTATGTACACTATTTACATTATTCGGACTATTGTCCTCATTTTTGTTGCCATATTTATTACAACGTTTCGGCCCTTCAGTATCTGTCTATATTTCTGAGATGAGGTATTATGTACACTATTTATATTATTCGGACTATTGTCCTCATCTTTGTTGCCATCTTTATTACAACGTTTCGGCCTTTCAGTATCTGTCTATGTTTCTGAGATGAGGTATTATGTACACTATTTACATTATTCGGGCTATTGTCCTCATCTTTGTTGACATATTTATCACAACGTTTCGGTCGTTGTACGCTCTTCAGGTTGGAATGTCGAACTGAACCCTTTATTTCGCTCGATGGGGTAGTTTTCCACTGCCTTAACCAGGTATTGAACTCACAACTCTCTGGGATTTGTCAGTGGCCCTAACCAACGCCTTTATCGACTGAGCTATGTGACCTGAAGAAGGCCGGAGCGTACAACGGCCGAAACGTTGTGATAAATATAGCAACAAAGATGAGGACAATAGTCCGAGTAATGTAAATAATTACTGGACTGTTATGTAATTTTAATCGTCCTATATGGCAGTGAATACTGGACAAGATAATTGACTTGAAGCAACAGAAATTTAGTTCTACAGAAAGATGCTGTGAATACCATGGTCTGTAAATTTGAGTAACGAGAAAGTCCTAAAGACAATGGAAACAAAAATTAAGCATATACTTAACATCAGGAAGAGGCAGTTGAAAAATGTGATACTTACAGTTCTGGTTGAAAGCGAAACAGATGGAAACACCGCATTATCTAACGTGGTGAGTTTAAGTGAATGGATGACTTATGGTAAAAAGACAAAAGTTGTTAAGATGTGCAAATGGCAGGAAATAGCGGAGAGCCATTATCGCCAATTTTTTGAAAGTACACAGAACATAGAAGAAGAAGCAAATAAGGCGGGAGTTTAGAATAATCGAGTAGGGGGTCTATTTCAGGTCTAATGGAAAGCTGTATAATTATAAAAAAATTTATTTAAAATCATTTTTTTTATTTTTTTGGTGGTGGCTGTGGGTGAGTCTTTATATACGGCAAATAATTCAATAAGATATAGCTATTGCATCCATCTCTTAAATACTTATCTAATTTCAAAGCATTGTCTTTTCCATGACCGACACTCAAGAGAACTGAACAATTTCATGAATACATGTGTTTATAGATTTAATCGGCGATACACATGGGAAATCATCTTGTAGATTGTTATACAAATTCGATTTAAGTTGTCGCTGCCTGATTTTCGAAGCAATTTTCTTGAGATAGCCGATGTCATTTTTCAAAAATATTTTGTAAAGAAACAATTTAATCAATAATTATTTGTTTACACTATTTACAGAAACACGCACACAAATACTAATTACGCCAAATGTTATTATAGTGGACATTTGGTATTTGAAATAGACGCCTCATTTTTGTTCATTAAACTGGGTGCATTACAACTATCGGCCTGCACATTCGATGAATGTTTGTAAAGAATATGAGTTCACAGATTGATCCGGCAAGCAAAGTGAATGTAAACTAAGCAATTCCAACAGAATTGATTATTTTAATCCGACACAGACGCATGCGCACACATGCGCATGCGCACACACGCGCATGCGCAAACACGTGCAGGCGCAAACACGCGTGGACGCATACTCAGGCAAACGGCATAACAAAACAAGACTAATGCGTCGTAACCACGAGTAGTTGTAGGTCGGGATTGTTGTAATCTAGGGACATAGTCTATAAATAAAAGTGAATTAATATTATTATTTTATTTCCACTATGAACAATATCTAAGTTCAAAAATGTTGCTTGACCTCTACTGAATAGATAAATATGGCAATAAATGGAGCCATAACAACAGCTTGAAACTTTATTATTCTTGTTGAAATACTCAAACTTATTTCTGAGAACTTATATAGATGTATTTTAAATTTTGAATAATCATTCATTTCTGAAGATATGACAGAAACAAAATAGCTGTTCAAGAAATGCCCCAGAAAAAAAAAAAAAAAAATTGAGGTCTATCAGTCCGGGGAAGGCTATGACAAAATTACAATCTGTTTGACATAACGTTATGCCATTTAGCACTCATAAATGAAAAGAAAATTTCAACGTGTAAATATGACAAATCTGATGATTTGATAAATCAGGTTGTCTAACATGAGTTTTAGTCAACCCGATAGCAAACAAAGTATACGCTCAAACACACGCATACGCGCACACACACGAACAGTGAGAAGGAATAAATATTCGTACACATAAAAGTTTTAATTTATTGTATATTCAACAAAGGACTAAACATACTTTTCATATAATTAACTGTACAGAGATGCATAATAACTAAATATGCATAGAAAAATAAATATATGCAAACTAATGCATACACATATACATACACACACATAAATATATATATATATATATATATATATATATATATATATATATATATATATATACACACACTCACACACACACACACACACATACATACATATATATATATATATATATATATATATATATATATATATATATATATATATATCATCATAATTTGGCTCCGAAGATCAACAAAGAGTCTGTACACGTCGCTTGCAGGCAGGTTTGTGTCTGATAAATCTAATGCAGGTCAGGCATACACGGTTGTAGCAGTTGCCGATAAAAGTCTGGCCTGGGCTCGATGGCAAAGCGTTGCAGTTCTTCTTTTGCCTATTCTACATGAGAGTGGCCCTGCAGGTATTGTCAAAAGAAGAAGACGCTAGGCGTCACGGTTCTCAGGTATAATTTTAGGAAGGCGATGATTCTCCTTCCTGGAAACGTATATATATATATATATATATATATATATATATATATATATATATATGATCCGAAGATCTTTAGTATTTTTATTTAAAAAAAAAACAGTGCTCAATACATAAGTAGAGCCTAAATTATAATTATTTATAGAAATATGATTCCATCGCTAAATAAGAGTTCTCATGTTTCAAAAACAGAAGCTAAAAACTTCAATTTATAATTATAAAAATTATTCTAAAATTCGCTTCAGAATGAATCAGAGCTGGGTACTTTAATTCAATTTAATTTTTATAATTAAATTGAAGTTTTTAGCTTCTGTTGTTGAATAGGGGTAAATATTTATACATAGCTGTTTGTATGTGTTTTACTTCTTCAAATGTCTGTCTGAGAACAAAACATGGTTGTCATGTCTTTTTTCCTCTTGATAATTCCGTTACGTTTGTGAAATATGGTTTTTATTAAATGAAGTATATATTATAAGCTATAATGAAGGAAATACAAATAGGATGATAAACCTTTCTTCCATTGCTCTCCCTAAACGCAAGAGTTTAATTAGATTGAAAGAAACACAGAAGACGTATCTAATGAGAAAGAAAAATAAAATGAACACTATTCTATGCAAGAGAAAATGACAATTGACGTTGTATTTATATTTTTTGTATATCTTAGTTGACAGGCAATCAAGAATCTGGAAGTTCCGGAGCTCTTACCTGGAGTTCTACAGGCAAGAATTGTAATAACATTTTAGATTCTCCTTTGAATTTTGTCGAGAATCCCTAGATACACACTTTACATTGCATTTCTAAGATGCCTACATAAAAAGCGGAACGGTCGTCTTCCTTAATATGTGGATCATACACAACGATTCGGCTTCTTCTTCTTCTTCCCCCCACTGTCCAGCGCAAATATCCATAAATCATTCTTTGGTCTCCCATCCTGATTTTACAATGATCCTTTTGGTATTTGACCGATTCTTGTTACAGGGTTGACATCAACCATTATTCCAAGACTTGTAGTAGTCCTGTATAAATGTTGTTAATTAATGGTGGTCGCTTGACCCTTCACAGGATGTCATCTTTCTGATGCTCTTGTTTTGGAAGATGTTTCCAAACGAGTTTGGATTCTTCAAAGAGTGTTCTTTTTTTTTTGTTGGTGTTTTTTATTCCTGTCAAATATTCCGCATCATTATAGCAAGATCGACGGAATCGAACATTTGGATCTTTAACTACAGTTCAATCGTTGACGATTTTCTTATATTCTTCATTTACCGGAACAACTATTTACTATTCCTAGCTATCACCTCTCCTTCTGATTGCTCTTTCCCCTTCCCGCTCATTATTAATGTTTTTGTTCCTTATTCTTTCGCACCCTGTAACGCCCTCTTGTTTTCCCTTCTCTATCTATCTATCTATCTATCTATCTATCTATCTATCTATCTATCTATCTATCTATCTATCTATCTATCCAAATTAGAGACCTGTCATAATTGGTGACATCATCATAATAATGAGGACCCATGCCTTCATCTTAGCATCTTTATTTTTCTTGGCACGCCTTCCTTGTGTCCCTAAGAATTCATTGATTCATTATGACAGAAAATTCTGAAGTAAAACTTCCTTTTCTTGTTTTTTTCTCATCTATCTATCTATCTATCTATCTATCTATCTATCTATCTATCTATCTATCTATCTATCTAAATTAGAGACCTGTCATAATTAATGACATCATCATAATAATGAGGACCCATACCTTCATCTTCGCATCATTAGTTTTCATGGCCAGCCTTCCTGGTCTCCCTAAGAATTCATTGCTTCATTATGACAGACAAATTCTGAAGTAAAGCTTCTTCCTTTTCTTGTTTTTCCTATATCTATCTATCTATCTATCTATCTATCTATCTATCTATCTATCTATCTATCTAAATTAGAGACCTGACATAATTGATGACATCATCATAATATTGAGGAGCCATTTCTTCATCTTCTTGGCTTTACTGCCTTGAATGGGGCGATTAAAAATAGTTTAAAACCGATGAAGAAAGATCATGGAACCAAGGCATTTAAAGTACCCTTATTGCTTCGATGTTCTCTTCATAAGGCAGTGTGATATCTGTGATATGCAAAGTTATAAAGATTTTTATATATTCAGCCATGAAAATACTACTGTTTCATGTTTTCATTTAAGATTTCTGATATTCAACAAAACTTTTATATATGCTTAAATTTTCCAGGCTTTTTTATCCATTAGTTTTATAATTTGCCGACTTGTTTTAATTATTGTAATATTCTTATTTGCATAAAATGTAGAGACGCATTCTTTCCAAATGCATTATAACGTTTATTATCAAGTCTTTCAAAATGTACAAGTTGTTGTTTGATAATTTTATTTGCCTCATATGCCAGCTTTTTCTCTCGAATAATCATAAAAATATTTACATGTTTTTTTTTCATTCCGACTTTTTAATGAATAAATTGAAAATTACATGAACTATTTAGACCAGGCTGATAGGTTTCATCGATTCCTAAATATTTCCTCATGTCCATCGACTGAACATATATCGAATTCTAAGCTTGTAGGATTGGTGGACATTTTTCAAAGGAAAACAGAGATATGTTTGCTGATATTAGTTCTTTTAAAAATGGACATAGCTGAGTGAGAAAGCAATGAATGCTATCGGCAGAGGTCATAGGTATACATACATACATATATATATATATATATATATATATATATATATATATATATATATAGACATTCAACATCATCATTTGATAAGACACCGGAGGTGTTGAAACGAAAATAGCTATTTTTTTAGTGATTTTATAACATATTTATGTTAGAATTTTTTAAATAAATAATTATATATATATATATATATATATATATATATATATATATATATATATATATATATATATATATATATCTGTGTGTGTGTGTAAAATTTCAGATAGAATATCTATATAAATGGAGCATTTGAATACAAACAAATGGAAATTTTTTTTTTTTAGACGACGCGTTTCGTCCTTTGATTGATTTAATCAAAGCAAATGCAAGGATTTTATTTTCTAACAAATATTTATATACAAGAGCAATTTTTTTTTTAATTTTAGGAACGTTCATAAATATCCATCAGGTTGGTTGAAAATTCGGGCAAGCTATGGAGGACGTGAAGTGCCACAATTCAATGTCTAATAAATAAAAATGAGTAAGTGATGTTTTTGAATCTTTTATTTTTACAAATTAGTATTCTAATTGTTTTAGTTTGGGATAAAGTTATGTATTATATATTATGAATAAGTTTATGGATGTAACCGTTTTCTTTAAATTTCTAACATTTTTTTAGTAATGTATCTTGACTTGAAAAGCAATAATTCTTTCCAGAATGAACATCCGGGACGCAGATTTATATTTTGATAAGATGCAATAGCTGCACTCTAGAAGATTTTCCTTCTCTTTAGATCGAAGTTATGGTTGAAATTATTTGTATGTATATTTCATGCATTGATAAATTATTGTATGAAATATCCCTTTTGTGTTCATAGATATATTGGGTGTATCTAAGTAGCTATTTGTCATTTATACTAGATCCACTGAAAACGAATAGATTTTTACTTTCAATGATTTTTCTCTTATTTAGTTGGCTTCCCATGTATCTTCTATGCACCGTGATCCATCAGGAGTAGGCGATCATGACTCTCCAAATTTCCTGTCATTTGTATCTTTTAATATATTTTGTCTTTTTTTTATTACTTCTAAACCTTATTCCGCCAATTAGTTAAGTTATTGATCGGCTTTCCTCTGTGTCTTTTCCCTTACAATCTGTCATGTGAGTATCAGATTTTCTAAACCTTCCTTCCTCATTCTGTGTCCAAGAAATTTCTACTGTCTCTTCTTGATGTTTTATATTTCTTTTTGTTTCGATTTTCTCTAAAATCGTTGTTGCTCACATGTTTGGTCTATGGTATCCTAAGCATCCTCCTGTAGAACCACCTAAGGGGTTCTCCCTTTATTCAGCGTGTTTTGATGGTCGTTCGAGAGGTGTCTCTTGGCTAGTGAGCAAGTCTTTGAAGGCTGCGTGTACTCTTGTCTTCGCAGATCCGGCGGGCAGGCTTTGCGTGCTGGATGTTACCATAAAGGATAAGGCTCCGCGCCACATTGGGGTTTATGCGCCCAGTAACCATTCTGACCGGCCTACTTTGTTTCGGCAGATCAAGCCGTTCTTGAAGACATCTCGTCGGGTAGTTTTAGCGGGCGGTTGGAATGCCTTCCTTTACCCCTATATAGATCACATAGGGCAAAATTCGGGTACTAACACCCGGGATGTGAAACCATTTCGGGGCTTTCTCGACAGGTTTGACCTTGTCGATAAGTACCGGAAATGAACACTCTGGTGATGTAGTGTGGACTTGGGCTAATAGTAGCGGCTCGGCTACAGAGGTGCGTTCTAGCTACCTCGACCGAGTCTTAGGAGTGTCGATGTAGGGTTCTTAGGGTATCCAGGTTTCCATTATATAGTTTATTCAGTCCATAGGCTCGTCCGGTTCCATGAAACCTTAGGTAAACCTAAGGTTAAGATGGCTGGCTACTGGAAACTAAACTTAACATTATTTGGTGAGCAAGATTTCCGGGACCAGATGCTACTAACGATACAAAAGAAAACTGACTGGGGCTGTGGTTGGGACTGACTGGTGGGATAACTTAAAATCAAAAATTAGAAAGTTTGCTGCTGATATAGTCATCGACTCAATCTAGATAGATTAACGGCGCAAACGGCTTGTGAGCAGAAAGTTGATCTGGCGATCAAATCGCGTGATAGTGGGGATGTAGCTTTAGATAAGGTTGAGTTGGTCTCCTTGCTTATCAAGAAGGATCAAGCTCTGGTAGTTAGGGGTAGACTAAAAAGAATGTCCTCTCAGGCAACGAATATAGCCGCTGAATTGCGTGCAGAAGATATTCGGAATGCATCTCGGTGACATATCCCATTCGTCACATTGCCGGATTAGCGGACCGTGATTACAAACGAGCGCGTATGCAAGGCTTTCCGTGAGTACTTTCAGGAACTTTTCACCAAGGAGCCGGGCTGAGCCCTGCTCAGCTCGACACCTACTTAGCTGACTTTCCCTACCTTGAGGCAGCTGAAGCGGCTAGGTGCGAGGATCCCTTCACAGAGTCGGAAATCCGGGAAGCACTCAAACAAGTTGGCCTGGATAAATCTCCGGGATTAGATGGTCTACCTTATGAGGTGTACTTGAGGCCGTCACCCGTTTTTGTTCCTTTGCTGACACTCATTTTCGGCAACTGGATAAAGCAGGGATCTAAACCGCAACGCTTCACCAGTGGCATGATCAAGTTATTACGGAAGGACAAGAACGGTGGAAATGGGATAGATAACTTTCGCCCTTTAAGTACTGAGTTAAAGATTTTGGCTAAGATCTTGGCGAACCGTTTGCGGGTTGTTCTGTCTAGTCAGATTGGCTCTGAACAGACTTGTGCTGTGAAGGGTAGAACTATTCAGACAGCTTTCATATGGTACGCTTGATCATCGAGCAAGTCGACAGTGAAGCCGCGCTTATCAATTTAGATCACTTCGGCAGGGTTGACCATCAATTTCTGGAGGCTGTCCTTTCGGCAGCCAGTTTCGGGCCATACTTTCACACCTGGATCCAACTTCTGTATGCGACTCCTGGTGAAGTGAATGGGGTACGATCGGAGCTTCTCGTATTGTAACTCTCCATTCGGCAAGGTTGTCCGCTTTCGTTTTTGTTTTACGTTCTTGCGCTGGAAGACGAATCCGGTCCTACGCGGAATTTCCCTGTCTGGTGCTACCACCTCGGCAAGGTATTCTGCCTATGTTGATGAGGTTTCGGTTCTTGTGTAGAGCAGAGCTAAGACTGACGAAGTCAGCAAAGAAATCAGTGGTTATGAGATGGTGACAGGGGCCAAGATCAACCACGATAAGTCTGTTGGCTTGCGGCTGGGTGCGTGAAAGGGAGTTTCTTTTCCCGGACTTTACCTCTGGACGAATGGGCCGGTCAAGATACTCGGCGTCTGGTTCGATCCTGATATGCAGTTGAAAATTAATTGGTCGGAGGTACAGTGAAAGACCGTGATCGCAGTTAATCTGATGTCTCCGAGGAATCTCTCCTTAAAGAGGAGGGCGTAAGTATGTGTGCACTCGAGCGAGGAGGAGGCCTATCGTTTACCCCGTGCCGAATGGTCCTTCTATAGCGAACGTCGTCTTGTTCTGAAACGCCTCTTAGGGTCGTCGGATGGCCTCTTCAACATCCAGGCATTGTCTCGTAGGGCATTATATCAAGTATTAATCAGTGGGGGGGCAGTTCGTGATGGGCCCCCGGGTTGAAATGCCACAATAACGATGTGGCATCACTCACCTGGTTGGTGATTTGGGATTCCCTCTGTGTCGCCAAAAGACTGTGTTCAGCGGGATTGGAGTAATCTCCAAACTGTCGACGCTGTGACGTGGAACTTGAGACGATTGAGCACGCCTTCTTTCATTACAGGGTAGTAGCGACGTTGTGCAAGTTTCTTGATGTTAAATGTTAAATTATTAGTGCCAATGGTGTTTTTATATAGATAATGTATTACTATTATGTGGGAAGTATTCCTGGGACGAAGATATGGGAGTTATTTCTGCCCCAATCTTTATTAATACATTTATACACACACACACACACACACACACACACACACACACACACACACACACACACATATATATATATATATATATATATATATATATATTTCTCCGATTTAATCGGTAGAGAAGATAATATTCATGAATAAAAATGACAATAGGAAAACTGGTAATTGCTGACGCGTCGAAACAAATATGCACAACAGATTCATAAAATCGAAAGAAAATGGTTGAATACATCAACACAGATATACTGACAATATTCTCCACACGTGACAAATACTGACGTTATTTTTCAGTTAAAAAAATATGAAAATAGCGTTTCTCTACATTCCAATTGCGAGGTACATTCTGTTTTTGTTTTTATAAAAACACTTTGTTCATTTAATTTCATTTTCGTATTTTTGCTTTGATAAAGTCCACATTGGACGAAACGCGTCAGCAATTACCATTTTTCCTATTGTCATTTTTATTCATAAATATATATATATAAATATATATATATATATATATATATATATATATACATATGTGTGTGTGTGTGTGTGTATTTATGTAGGTGTGTGTGTATGTATTTATGTAGGTGTGTTTATGTATTTATGTAGGTGTCTGTGTGTATGTATTTATGTAGGTGTGTGTGTGTATTTATGTAGGTGTCTGTGTGTATGTATTTATGTAGGTGTGTGTGTGTATTTATGTAGGTGTGTGTGTGTATTTATGTAGGTGTTTGTATGTATTAATGTAGGTGTGAGTGTATGTATTTATGTAGGTTTGTGTGTGTGTGTGTATGTATTTATGTGTGTGTGTGTGTGTATTTAGGGGTATATGCGTGTATAATCGAAGAATTAAGATTAAATGATTAAATCTTAATTTGGCGCCCTGGCGGATAGGACAACGTGCAGCAATTGAGTGGCCATCACCATCACCATCACCAGACCCAACACCACTAGACATTTTCTTGTAAATGAAACCTCCATCGCTACTCTTCTGTCTTCTTCACTAAAGTATTCTCATTCTCTTCCACTTCCAGAAACTTCGTGCATCTTAGTGGCTTGTTTGCCTTGCCTGGGGTTAAATGATTAAGAAAAAACATTTTCCAAACTGACCTTCCTCATAATGCGTTACAGAAATTCCAGTTGTTTGTTTCTGCCTTTTATGAGAGGCTTTCAATTTCACATTTGTTTTAGATCTTCCATTTTACTTGCGGTTATGAATTTGAGGGCATCTTTCGATCTGCCTCTTCGATTTCTGCGTCAAACATTACGTTAACTTACTCGTTAATTAATCAGAATTATGTACTTACATAATTCTGACGTTTTCTTTGTATAATGCGCGTCTTAAGCTATCTCTCTTTCTAACGTCTATTTTGTCTGATAAGTGATGATTCGTCAATTTTTCTTGTTTTCCTTCACTATATTTTTCTGTCTGCCATTATGGTGTCATCTGCGAACCTAGTATTGTTAAAATTCAGTCTCTCAGTTGGGCCATGCGTGATACACGCTTAGGCGATCGTGTATCGAAAGATATATGACTGAAGAGGCAGATTTTTTCCCGCAGTAGGTTGCCATTTCTTTCTGCGGTAGACCAGTTGCCATCCAAGGCTACATAACCCGGTCTATCCTGCTATTTACCCATAGCATAGGGGAGAAGAAAGGATTTATATCTTTCCCAAGGGTATTAGCACGTAAGTGAATGTAATGGATTCGACCGTAATTCGAACTCGGCTCTCCGATTTCTTAATCCGAGCCGCTATTATCCCCACTAATCATCAATTCTCCTACGATTATAGTTGTTTATTATCAACTAGTTGTATAGGTTAAATAAATCCGATGAGATGACGCATCCTTACGTTATGGTCCTGCGTATTTTTATATACTGAATTTATTTATTTTTTATCCGTACAAGGAATGGTATGGTTTACGTACGCTTTCCAGTCGGCATCCCCAGCTCGTTCACATCAAGGCCAACTCGACTATAGTGAGATTGGAACCCTAGTCGCACGGTCAGGAATCGAACGTGCTAACTACTTGGTTCAGTTATTAGTTATGTGTTGATGTAATGAATATGCATACACCTGGTTTCCTCCTCACAGTAATATGATTGGCTGGTGTCAGCCATAAATACAGACTGATGTGGAGGTACAAAACGACGCCTATTGCTTACCACTACGACGAGGACCAGTCAATTACGGTTACCTCCTAGATTGTCCTACCCGGTTACAGTAGCACAATACCACTTTGCTACTTCGAACAAATATATCCCTTTCCGGGACATATCATGTGTCAAGTGTGATACACGCTTAGGCGATCATGTATCTTTCGATACTCCCGCAGTAGGTTGCCATTTCTTTCTGCGGTAGACCAGTTGCCATCCACGGCTATAGAAACCGGTCAGCCCTGCTATTGAGCTGGTGAGAGAAGAAGAGGATTCATACCTTTCCCAAGAGTATTATCACGTAAGTGAATGTAATAGATTCGGCTGGATTTCGAACTCGACTCTCCGATTCCACAATCCGAGCCGCTATCCATTACCCTAACATGTCAATTATTATCCAAATATATTTCCCAAGATAAATAATGCTTTCTTAAATGTTTAATTTAACTTTGTGTCGTAACTTATAAAATTCATTTGCTTAATCTATGAAACATAGGTATACCTCCGCCTGCATTTGTGAATCCAAATAATTCAGAGACGGTGATGATAGCTATATCTTATCCTGAAACCGTTTATTCAATGTCTCCGGAGATATTGTTTATTATAGGAATTCTAACACTGACTGTAAATCGAATTGTGAATATAAAATAAATCATAGATGGTGATGAAAACAATCATTGCGTGTGAACACAACGGTTATCCTGCCACGGCTGACGAGAAATTTCGCCGATATAAAGACAAAAATAAATATCCTGATCTCAAACAGTTAGAACATTAATGTATACTGAATCAACAAACGTTTCACAACGAATTTAGCAAAGATAAATTAAAATCGTATTAAAATGTCGACTGATGTAAAGAGGAATATGCAAATGAATTCCCAACCCGGGACGTAAACTCATTGTGGCGCCATTTTTTATGTTTTATGGTTTTTGTTGCTGGTGCAAATATTAACGATCCTGCGGAAGTCATCCAGTCTGAAAACATTTAGCAGACTTTATCTCCTCTCCGTTTTTTTTTTATTACTGTAAATGTTTAACAGTATTTCAGATTCGTATCATTTTAAAGCGTGTTAGGTTATATTTTGATAAATAAAGAAAGAAGTAAAAACCCTGGGATGCAAATTTAAATAAAAGAATGCGAAACAGGAGATGAATAAATAATCTCGTGAAATAAAGAAACTGAAAAAAAAAAAAAAAGAACGAAATGTTTTTGAAAAGTGAAAGAATGAAAAAAATGATGAAAAGAGAAAGAAAGAGTTGCTGAAAAGGTAGAAAAGTTGTTGAAAAAGAAAGAAAGAAAAAGAAAATTCTTGAAAAGATAAAGAAAGAAAAATTGTTGAAAAGAGAAAGAAAGAAAATTGTTTGAAAAGAGAAAGAAAAGAAAAAGAAAGGAAAAAAGAAAAAAAATTTTTGTTGAAAGGAGAAAAAAGAAAAAAAGTTGTTGAAAAGTTGTTGAAAAAAGAAAGAAAGAAAAAAAAAAGAAAAAAAGTTGTTGAAAAGAGAAAGAAAAGGAGAAAAAGAAAAAAGAAAAGAAAAGTTGAAAAAAGAAAAGAGAAAGAAAGAAATAAAAGTTGTTGAAAAGAGAAAGAAAGAAAGAAAGAAAAGTTGTTGAAAAGAGAAAGAAAGAAAGAAAGAAAGAAAGAAAAGTTGTTGAAAAGAGAAAGAAAGAAAAGTTGTTGAAAAAAGAAAGAAAGAAAGAAAAATTTTTGAAAAGAGAAAGAAAGAAAGAAAGAAAAGTTGTTGAAAAGAGAAAGAAAGAAAGAAAAGTTGTTGAAAAGAGAAAGAAGGAAAGAAAGAAAGAAAGAAAAAGAAAAAGAAAAGTTGTTGAAAAGAGAAAGAAAGAAAAGTTGTTGAAAAGAGAAAGAAAGAAAGAAAGAAAGAAAGAAAGAAAGAAAGAAAGAAAGAAAAAAAAAGAAAAGAAAGAAAAAGAAAGAAAGAAAAGTTGTTGAAAAGAGAAAGAAAGAAAGAAAAGTTGTTGAAAAGAGAAAGAAAGAAAGAAAAGTTTTTGAAAAGAGAAAGAAAGAAAGAAAAGTTGTTGAAAAGAGAAAGAAAGAAAGAAAGAAAGAAAGAAAAGTTGTTGAAAAGAGAAAGAAAGTAAAAAAAGTTGTTGAAAATAGAAAGAAAATATTGTTGAAAATGGAAAGAAAAGAAAAAAGTTATTGAAAAGAGAAAGAAAGAAAATATTTTTGGTTGAAAAGAGAAAGAAATAAAGATAGGGATGTTGAGAAGAGAATGAAAAATTTTTGTTAAAAAAAAAAGAAAAAGAGAAAGAAAATGGGAAAGAAAGAAAGAAAAGAGAAAAAAAAAGAAAGAAAGAAAGAAAGAAAAAAAAGTTCTTTAAAAGAGAGAGCTAGAAAATTGGAGAATGACAAAAGGGAAACTTGATGAAAAAATAAGAAAGTTAGAAACTCGTTGAAAGAAAGAAAGAGGGATATTACAGAAAATGAAAAAAAAAACTTAACGAGAGAAAAAAAAAAAAAGTTCTTTAGGAGAAAGAGACAAAAAAAAGGAAACTAAAAAAATAAGAAAGAAACCCGATGAAAGAAAAGAAAATTGAAGAAAGAAACAAAGAAACTTCGAGAGGGAGAAAGTTGAAGAATAACAGAAAGGAAAAAATAAAGAAAGAATGACACGAGATAAAAGAAAATATAAAGAATATTTTGAAACGGAATTTCCCTAGAAAAAACAGAGAATGAAGAAAGCAACTAGAAAGAAAGAAAAATAGTGATCGGAAAATATAAGAACTAAAGAAGTGTGGAGATACAGAAATAAAGATAAAGATGTGAAAAAAGAAAAAGAAAAAAAGAACGGGCTGAAATTTAGGAAAAAAACGTCTTGGGAAAACTAAATAAAGAAAGAAAAGGAATGTGTAATTAAATGAAACGAAAGAAAAATCCTGGCGAAATGAAGAAATTTGTAAGAATGAAAAAAGCGTGAATAAAGAAAGAATAAAAGTGAGTGGTAGAATAAAAACAAGAAAGGTTGAGAGAGTAAAAAAGCCGAAGAAAAAGCTGAATAAATTTTCACAACCATACTTTTTACGAAGATCTTATCTTCGAAATTGCGTTCCGCTTTAGACAAACTTCATAATCCTTGACGCTATAATCTGGAAAAACTCTTCTTCTCCTGTGCAATCTGAAGTTTTTAAAGAAACGGGAATGTAAAACAGTTAAAGGCTTTTACATTTTTTAAAAAAAAATTTACATCTTTTAGGATTTTTTTAAAAATTTGATTTTAATATAGTAACTAAGAAACTTATGGAGTACGTGAATGTTGGTTAACACCTCGACCAGACATCTGGGTTGATAATTGGACTCATTTTAAGCTCAGAAGGGCTTTAAAAGTATCAAGATAGACGTATATACACATCTGTAGCTGTTTTTTCAACGTCATATTTTCGACATGTTTATTTGTCCGTGTCATAAAAGAATACTTTCGGCAAAAATGTATATACACGTGAATGCGGGTGTTTGCAGAAGTGCAGATACGTCGGCGTTGCTATTGAAAAGTAAAGAGATATTTATGTACACCATTTACATTATAGGGACTATTGTCCTCATCTTTGTCGCCATATTTGTTACAACGTTTCGGCCGTTGTACGCTCCGGACTTCTTCAGATGGTTGGAATGTCGAACTGAACCATTTATTTCGCTCAGTGGGGTAGACTTTTTTAGTTCTACGTGCCATGTTTTAATGGATGTTAGTTATCAGTTAATTCCCCTCTGAAAGTTCTCCACTGCCTTAATCGGGTAATTTGGGTCCTATCACTGCATCTAACTAACGCCTTTATACACTGTGTCATTTGTGTGGATTTCTGAGTATTATAAACCTAATGCCTTCAGCCATCATTTTTTTCAGTGCTCATATTGCAATTTTTGTTGTTAACATTCCATGTTTTTATCAGAGCTTATATTGCATTTTTTATTATCGCTTTTCACTGACCCTCCTTATTGCTGGTTAAACATGTCACGTAGAACTAGAACAGTCTAAACCAATGAGCGAAATAAAGGGTTCAGTTCGACATTCCAACCACCTGAAGAAGGCCGGAGCGTACAACGGCCGAAACGTTGTAATAAATGTGGCTACAAAGATGAGGACAATAGTCCGAATAATGTAAATAGTGTACATAATACCTCATCAGAAATATAGACAGATACAGATATGTATGTGTAACACTACGTCTGATATAAATGCTACAGGTTCATGAAACATAGTCCCATATACTGCTTACTTTTTAGATTCTTCGTTTGTTAGCCCGTATATATGCCCTTCTGATACGTCATAAATAATGGGTTTTCAGTTTTGATCGCGACCAATGACAATTCAGCGACGCTGTTTGGTCCCAAAAACGAATAATGTCCTTACTTGATTTGCATATGGTAACCAAGGAGATAAAAGCTCTGGCTGCCGAAATAAAAATCGGAATTATTCGGTAAATAATCCCCCATTCTCCAAAAGATATAATTCCAATCAACCAAACAAAAACATTATTTGTCTATATCTCTGAGATGAGGTATTATGATTACTTGTATTATTTACATTATTCTGACTTATCCCCATCTTCATTGCCATATTCAGAACTTTTCGGCCGTTGTATGCTACGGCCTTCTTCAGGGGATTGGAATTTCGATCCGAATCCTTTATTTCTTCCACGGGAGTAGATTTTTCTGGTTCCATGTTTTCTCAGGGTGACGAAATGTTTTGGGTACAGTGAAGGAACATCATTTTAATATTTTTCTCTGATATTAGGTATTAAGATTATTTACATTATTTACATTTTACCGACTGTTCACAACGTTTCACAACGTTTCGTTCGTTGTATGCTCCGGCCTTCTTCAGGAGATTGAAATTTTGGAACCGAACAATCTATTTCATACACCGAGGTAGATTATTCTAGGTCCTTGTTGCAGTTGTTTTTTCGGGGTCACGAAATGTTTCGTCTTCTCACGGTCACGAAATATTTCGTCCTCTCGAGTCACGAACTAATTTGGGGCCAGTAAAAACTTCAACATGGAGAATTTTAATATCTTTCTCTGAGATTAGGTATTATGATTATTTCCATTATTCCGACTGTTCACAACGTTTCGGCCGTTGTACGCTCTGGCCTTCTTCAGGAGATTGGAATTTCGAACCGAACCCTTTATTTCTTCTACCGAGATAGATTGTTATTTTTGATGCTTGTTGCAAATCGGAACATCAACCAGAGGAAAGAATATTGACCATGTTTCAAAAACTGAAAATTCTATCCTATTTTTAATTACACTTGATACCTTTTCCAACAGGAACGGTTTACTTGTTCATTGTGAAGCCACAACTCACGTTAGTAGTGACTAATCTAAATTTATTAATTCGATAATGATTTTCATTCATAAATTTGTCATATTGAACTGACAGAACAAAAATAATGCTTTAAAGCGAAGCAATGTTCTTTTTCTTTCTATGTGCCATGTCCTTTCAGGGCGTAGGCGATCATGGCTCTCCACCTCCCTCTATCCCTTGCAGCTCTCATCAAGATCCTTCTCTCTGCTTCCTTCCCCAGATCACGTTCTGTCATCCACCTGCTCAAGCTCGTCAGCTGTGTCACGCGCTGCTTTCTCTTGTCTCTCTTTCCCTCTATTTGACCCGTGAGTATCAGAATCTCCAGGCCCTCCTTCCTCATTATGTGTCCCAGAAACTTCAGCTGCCTCTTTCTGATGTTAGGTATGAAACTTCTCCTTGTTTGTAACTTATCTAAGTAGACATCATCGTTACTCACATGCTCGGTCCATGATATCATCAGCATCTTTCTGTAGAATCACATCTCCGTCGTCTCGAGTCTCTTCCTCGTCCTTGAGGAAATCGTTCAACATTCGCTGCCGTAACGACGAACAGAAGCAATGTTCACGTTTCAACTGAAAAAAATATACAAAAATGTATTTAAAAAAAACATGCCCTTTATATCCTTACATTTAAACAGAATATATTCTCGATACAGGTCGCTACCGAAAATGTGGGGTCTGTAAAATTTGTATGCCGCAATGGCTTTAAAATTTCACCTACTAGATGGACGCATAAACTATTTAAATGCTGCAATAAACCCCCAAACTATTATGTGTAGCCTTAAACAATGGCATCAAATCTTTGGACATTGTAAAACTGCAACACATTATAGAAGGCACGGAAATTAGCGATAAATCAAATTTAAACTGTGAAATATGTGCCAAAGGCAAAATCGAGCAATATAAAAATAAATTACCTGATAAATGGGAAGATAAAATATTATACCTCGTTTATCTGGCCGGCCTGATTGAGCCGAGATATTTGAATGGTTTCAACTATCTACTCTGCTTTGTCGACGACTATTCCGGTCTAACCATAGGTTATTTGCTTAAACAAAAAAAGTGATAAGTTTCTAGGTAAAAAAAAATATTTGGCAGACATCGGTCCGTACGGCTCTGTAAAATGCCTAAGAAGCGATAATGGCACAAATTTCACTATTAAACATGAACAATCGGCCCCAAATGGCACTGCAGAAAGATCTTGACGATCTATTTGAAATGGCAAGATGTCTTAATTAAATCAAAACTATAAACATTCTTGTGGACATACCCTATTAATACCACTGCATATATTAGAATTCATTGTTACAATCAATGAACTGGAAAAGCCTTCGGAATGTTTATGGATCGCAAACCTGACGTCAGTAATATGCATATATTTGGTACACTTCTCCCGTATCGAGAGGGCCTCTTGATTTTGTCGAAGGGGAGAATACAGCCACCTCTCTTTTTTGAGGGTTGAACGGGACCTTTCTTTTAATATTTAGTTTGGTTTTGAGTTCATCCCCTCTCCTCTCAATATAAATCATCCATAAATTTTTGTGTATAAATTTTTATAATCATCAAATTTTTATGTCACGGGGTGCGTTTTTAAGTGTTTACTGCGAGAATGTGGTATTATGGCATACGGAGGATTGATTGGTGACTGATGAGTTCTTGTGGTGAATGTGCAAATTGTAACGTGTGAATGGGTCGTGTATCGGATTAGCTAGGTATAAGCTCGTCAGTGAAGACCAGCCTTAACCTATTCCCCCTTTTCAGCCTTGTGCCATACTTGTATTTTATACAATAAATATCAATATCCATATATTTAGTACAGTTTGCTATGCCTACATAAAAGGTACAAATAAATTGGACATTAAAAGTGAAAGAGTAATTTTCATATGCAACGAGGAATCGAGCCCTGCCTAACATATGTCAAGAGTCGTAAGATTTATTGAAAAATTTGAAATTCTTATTATATGTGGTAATACTTCAAATTCGGTTGAAGAAAATGCTGTATTAATTCAAATTTGATGTATCCTTTTTTTATGTATTAAATCAAAAACCGCAAGGACTTTTCTGGTTTACTTTGCAACATAAACATTTTCCTTTAGAAAGTACAATGATGATTCTATCACTTACAATCCTGTTATATCGTAACATAGACTCCCGGAAAATGTTTTGCAGATTATAAAGTAAAGATTTCGTTTTGCTATTTATATTTTCAAATAGTAATGTTCATGTAGTGGAATTGTTTAAAATAAAATAGTATTTGAAAACCATTTTACGAAAATGGCACCAATTCCTGACATGAAAAAAGATCATGTATGCTGGTGAGAATATTGGAACGATCATTTGGCATAAAACCTTGATAATTATTCAACGTTCCATTTATGTAACGTTTTCTGTAATAGATTTCCGGTGAATTTCAAAATATAAACCAACAAATTTTTCGAAAAGTATATACTGGTTGTCCATAAATTTCGTGTGCACTTAAAAAATTTATAACTTTATTTGTATTTGCGATAGAAATAATTTGTTAAAAGGATTAGAAAGAAGTAAATCTATATGTTGTAAGGTTTTATTGAAATTTTATTTAAGTTTCCACACGTTCTCCATCATTAGCAATACAAAGGGTAATACGATTTTAAAGTTCGTGGCTTATCATAAACGGAGCCTGTCTCTAAATTTTTTCATCCATTTAGTAGTAGTGTTCCAATGAAGTGATTCTTTATTGTATTCAATTCTAAACTTTCTTTGTACAGCAATAGTAGATTTCAGTTCAGCCAACCAAAGGACACAGTTTACTTTTTCCTCAGTTGAAGCCATGGATCAAATTGATTCTGGAAAAAAGAAAATATTTTTTTTACTTATCTAAAAATTGTTGCAAATTTTGTGGTAAAGAATTACTCAATATCTATATTTAAAACTAGGTACATTAAACTTTATAACATTTTTTACAGATTATTTCTATTGCAAATACAAATAAAGTTATATTTTTTGGAAAGTGCACACGAACTTTATGGACACCCTGTATTTGTATTTCTTCGAAATTTATGCTTAGTGAATAAACGGTTTTTGAAATTAATTCCATGCTTTTTATTTATGTTTCAAACAGTGTGCATTCCGTCTAACGGCCTGAGAACTCAAGAAATCTTCATAAAGGAGATATGCTCTCCGGCAAAATTTGAAACCTTCATGCCCACCGATTGACCCAGCGTGGGTATTAAAAATCGACTACAGCGTGTGAATAGTTTAAAATGTTCCAATATATTCCTTTTAGGGAAGGACGGTGTTGAAAACCGATCAAATTGGAGAAACACCTGCCACTGAGGTATAACTAACCTTGAAAAGAATTGCCTCAGGCACCTGAGAGAATTATGAATTAATACTAAATATCAGGCTAATACATCAGCCCAGATGACGGACAATCCTAGAGCATGCCCTTCGTGTGGATTTGTTTGCAAATCCCATGCAAGATTGTTGTCTCATACGAAAGATAAACATAAAAACTCAACTGAAAGAAAATCATACGTAAAAAATGACGGCTGAGTCCATCATATATATATATATATATATATATATATATATATATATATATATATATATATATACATATATATCTCTGATACTGAGCGCTCTCTAATAAGTACCGCATATAATATATAAATAATTATACATATATATTTATTTATATTTATATACACTTTTCACACACACACACACACACACACACACACACACACACACACACACACACACACACACACACATACATATATATATATATATATATATATATATATATATATATATATATGCGTAATTTTTTTCCCACCTATTATTGTTTTAATATTGAATGTCTGTGGAAGCCTGACGAGCAGGAGCGAAACCGGTTGCTTCCCACCCCCTTGTTGTTGAGGTTTTTTTTTTTTTTTAATTATTTAATATTGTTTTAATATGTCTTGTAATATTAAATTTTATACTTTTATTTCGATCATTAAATTTTGTACCTACAAAAATATCTTTAAATATATATATATATATATATATATATATATATATATATATATATATATATATATATATATATTATGTCATTGGCAGACAGTACTGTTTCGCAGTATCACAGCTTCTCAGTGGGACTAGACATCTGAATGCCTCAAGCTTGGATCAAAACCCAAGCAATTTGGTGTCAGTCAGAGCTTCTACCACTGAGCTATCTTCACCAGGTAGAATTATACAGCTAAATCTAGCGTATTGCTTTTACGAATGTAAACAAATGCCAATCAACCAAAGTGCTCCATTCATTTTACTGAAGAGCATTAACGCAGGTGGCTGTTGAATATAGAATTAACTTATCACTCAACTGTGGACAATTGAAATATATTTTCAAGAGCTAAATATAAATATAAAAGTGAACATTGAAGTCAGCACGCAGAGGCGACAGGCTGTTTCATATTAGACGCAATCGTCCGGTCCCTTAGAAGATACGATGTTTTGGTATATCGTAGAGAGGAATTAGTTTTGTGGTGATTGTGTCACTTGTTAGAATCAATGTGTGATTTTCTATCCCCTACCTTCAGCTAAGTGTCACAAACAACCTATTTTGTTTAATAAACGAAGGATATATATATATATATATATATATATATATATATATATATATATATATATATATATATATAGAGAGAGAGAGAGAGAGAGAGAGAGATAGATAGATAGATAGATAGATAGATAAAAACCTAGTGAGCCAGACAAACCTACCCAGGTTTCACCTAAGCGGATCGTCAGGGTGAGCCAGCTTTCCTGACGATCCGCTTAGGTGAAACCTGGGTAGGTTTGTCTGGCTCACTAGGTTTATCTAGGTCTGCTCTACGGTTGTATTGAGCTCTTT